TACTTAGTGGTCAGGACACATGTATTGTGTGCACAGGTATACAAGGTCAAACTGTGGCTCACAAGAACCCCTAGATACAGTCCTAGAGGCGTCCAACCTTCCCATCCTCAAAGACCCCCAGGCCCCCCTGAGCACCTCTGGAGACACCCTCAGGGCCCCCAGTGACAGCAGACCATGCAGAACTGATTGCATAGCAAGATCTGCATAGCAATAAATATGAACTGCCTGGCCGTGTTGGCTGATATCACTGGGAATAATCCCTGGATGTACAGAACTCTTCTTAGGTGCACCTCTCCTCCCCTAAAAAAATAATAAATATCTGAAAGTGTTCTTTCGGATAGATTAACACAGTCCTGAAGGTGCCTAAGCACTGTCCTCACAGAGTGAGGGCCCCAGGATGTGACTCAGTGACGGAATACCTGTCTTGCGGGTGTAAGGCTGTAAATTGCATTCCTGATTCTGGCCCATATCCCCAAGTGCTGTCCACAGTTGCTGGTGTGATTCCCTTACATCACAGCCAGTACTCCTCCCGGCACACAAAGGCAAAGTGTGTGAGCACAAGTGTGTTCCCCAATAGTGCAGTGAGAAAGGAAAGGGAAAAGCTTCCTGCTTCCTCACCCTGTTCTCAGCTGCTCCTGATTTTCACCGACACAATCAACGCTGATGTCTAGGATGTTTTCAATGTACAGTTGTTTTTCTCCTGTAATAGACTAGGACCCCAGAGGATAGAAACAATGCCTATAACTGGTAAACTTCTACAAATAAACAAATAAATAGGAATGGTGCTTAGGAAATGTGATTTCTTGACCAAATATATAACCCAATTCCTGTGTTTTACATGGTAAGAGCCAGCACAAACTGTAAGGATTTTCAGATACTTTCACTTTTTTGCACAGACTTATGTTGCTGTAAATGTCAGTAACATAGTACTGTGCTCCCATTGTTCATCAATTTGCTCAAGCAGGCACCAGTAACATTTTTCCATTGTGAGATTTGTTATTACTGTCTTTGGCATATCGAATACATCACAGGGAGCTTGCCAAGCTCTGCCGTGGGTGTGGGATACACTCAGTAGCTTGCCCAGCTCTCCGAGAGGGACGGAGGAAACGAACCTGGGTCTGCCATGTGCAAGGCAAACGCCCTACCCCCTGTGCTATTGCTCTAGCCCCAATTGTCAATAACATACATCCAATAAACATTCATGGAATTTATTTCAAATCTGCTGACAGAAAAATGATATCCTCTTAGACATCTCTCTAAGAGGATATTTATTCTATTTATTTATTTACTAATTAATATATTTATAATTTACGGGGCTGGAGTGGTAGCACAGCAGGTAGGGCGTTTGCCTTGCATGTGGTTGACCCGGGTTCGATTCCTCTGTCCCTCTCAGAGAGCTTGGCAAGCTACTGAGAGTATCCTGCCCCGCCGCAGAGCCTGAGGAGCTCCTCGTTATGTATTTGATATGCCCAAATCAGTAACAACAAGTCTCACAAATGAGACGTTACTGGTGCCCACTCATGCAAATCAATGAACAATAGGAGGATAGTGGTACAGTGTGATTAATGGTTTATATATTTATTAAAGTACTGATATGTTTGTTAATAAAAATTTATTTGATTGGAGGTCCATACCTGGCTCTGCACTCAATGATCACTCCTGGTAAGCTTAGGGGCCCATTTTTTTTTTTCCCTTTATTTTATTTTATTTTTTTTAAAGTTGTAGATTTACAATTTTTTGTGCTTTAGTTTCAATTATACAATGATCAGATACCCATCCCTCCACCAGTGCCCATTTTCCACCACCATGGATAATATCCCTCCCACCCCCATCCCCCCATCCCCCCTGTCTCTGTGGCAGGGCAATCCCCTGTGTTCTCTCTCTCCTTTTGAGGGGCCCATTTTGGTGCTGAGAATCAAACCTGGTTGGCCACAGGCAAAGCGGGTGCCCTATCCTCTGTACTATCTCTCCATCCCACTCTTTTTTGGCTTATATTTCAGTAAATTGGCAGTATTTGCAAAACAAGCATGAAGAACAATCTCAGCATCTGAGTCAGCATAGAAGAAAATAGAGTTCCTTGCCTGCAGGAGAGAGTCCGAGAGTCTGATCCTCCCAGCTCCCTGACCTATCCCTGTTCCCTTGCTTTAGGGACACGCTGCAAAGGCCATGGCCCCTTTGCTCAGAGGGAAGATGGCAGAAAGCCCACAAGCGCAGCATGAACCTCATGGATGAGTATCAGGGGTCTGCCGAGAACAGCAGCTGCTGGAACATATGGGTGACCAGTAGGAGTTCTTCAAAGTTCTGGCCTGAAGCAATTCCATCTATAAAACTCAGTTGTCTGAAAAGTTTTATGGGAAACTTTCCCTAGTATCTTGTCATATTTTCCTATTAACTTTAATGATTTAGAATTTACATTCTTTTTACCACTTTGTTCTAATATAATCCTAAGGATTTTCAAGTCAAGGCACATCTTTTATTTTCCTCTCCTCTTGATGCTGTTCTAATTAGATTTTTTACAATTTCTTGTGTTGGCATGTTCCATAGGCTTCTGCTTGGTCTCACCACCTCCATTTTAACCACATTCTGCCACCAGAATAACCCTGCAAAAACCCCTGTTCTTACAGTATCTACCTGCCAACCACATCAACAGCTTTCCAACCACTTGTTGACAGAAAGGATCCAAAACTCTAAGTATACCAGGTCTGTCACGGTCATCTCCAAACAACTTTTCCAGAATTAATGTTGGTCAAACACATCCAAATTCTAATTAAAAAAGCCAGTCATTCCCCCACACTGCAAAAAGAAAAAAAACAAAACTAGCCATTGTGCTTTTTCTCTGCTGTATCCTAATGCTGGATCTTTCTTTTACCATGGATATTTCATCAGTTTTTTCATCTCTTAACTTCCAATTTATTCCTCAAGTACCAGGTTGATGACTACCTTCTTCTCTGCCTTATCGATGCTTTTGGAAGAAGATACCCTTCTCTGTATCTGAAAAAATTAGTGTTTATTTTTGTTTGGGGCCTCGCCACTGGTAATTGAAGGCCCTCTAAAACTCCCTGCAATACTCGAGCCTACAGTATGGGCTGTGTTGGGCAGAGTGCAGGAAGGAAGGGAAGAGGTACAAGGGATTTAACTCTGGACTTTGCCCTTGCAAGGCATACACTTTATCTCCCCACCCCATGTTTATTTTAAAATGGTATTTACTATGTAGCTGTTAGAAAAGATGAAGTCATGAAATTTACATACAAGTGGTACTACATGGAAAGTATTAGGAGTGGCTGATACCAGTACCAGGAATTTTGCTCCATGACTTGGTTGCCACCCACACGTGCTAGGGGAAAAGGGAGCTCAGATAGAGAAGGGAGCACCAAATAAAGGGTGTTGGGAGGATCCTCCCAGGATGGGAGAAGCGTGCTGAAAGTAGAGTATAGACCAAACATGATTGCCACTCACTGCCTCTCTTGCAAACCACAGAACACAAAAGGAGAGAAAGAGAACAAAAGGGAATACCCTGCCACAGAGGCAGGGAGTCTGGGGGGGTGGGAGGGATGCGGGGACTTGTGGTGGTGGAGGATGGGTGCTGGTGGAGGGATGGGTACTTGATCATTGTATAACTGAAACCCAAGCACAAAAATTTCTAAGTCTATAACTGTACCTCATGGTGTTTCACTAATAAAATAAATAAATAATAAATAACGAAAAAAAAACCAAAATAAAGGGAAAGGTGGAAACAACTGAGTAAAAATAAACAAATAAATAAATAATAAAATGGTATTTATCTGTAAACTGACAGTGAAAGTAGAGGGATGGACAGAAGGGTTGGTGGATAGGTAAGCAGATGGGTTGATGAGTAGATGGATGGAAGGTTGGATAAATAAAAGAATTTTGTTTTGTTGGCCTTGAAATTCAGATTTCTTTTTAAATCTCAACATACTGTACCTAATAGGGCATACAGAAGGACCTCTCACAATATTGATTAACCCAGTGGTACCAGCAGTACAGTTATTGTTAACACTCATTTTCACTGCTTACCCTTTGCAGAGGGCTGGAGTGATAGCACAGAGGATAGGGTTTTTGCCTTGCATGCGGCCGACCCGGGTTCGATTCCTTCATCCCTCTCGGAGAGCCTGGCAAGCTACCGAGAGTATTCCGCCTATACAGCAGAGCCTGGCAAGCTCCCCGTGGCATATTCGATATGCAAAAACCAGTAACAACAAGTCTCCCAATGGTGCCTGCTCGAGCGAATCGATGAATAACCGGAGGACAGTGCTACAGTGCTACCTTTTGTAGAATTCTAGATTTTGGCATGTATCATATTTTCCTGCAGTTGGAGCTCTCTAGAAGGTGATCATGAGGTCATCAACTGAGAGACTTCTTTTCACAAATACTAACTGAGTATGTCCCAGGCCTCATGACAAAATTAGAACAACACATTTCTACATTCACAACCTTTTACAGATTTATGGAGATAACAGCACTTGAATAATAAGGGCATGTAATCACCTGTGGGGTCCTCCAAAGGAGGAAGTGAGACCTAAAGGCATCATAAAAATGGTCAGACTAAACTGAATGTGTGTCAGGGTGTGAGGATGAAATAGCACGAGGAGGATCATGTGCGGAGCTGGGCAGAGGAGAGAGGACGATGAACTGAATAGGAAAAGTCCTAAAGGGAAGAGAGAATGAATCATAATAGTCAAAGATATTCCTTATGGCCATAGTATCAGTGAGTGCAATGGAGGTGAGGAGGCCAGGAGAGTGGGAAGACTTGGGTGGATAGAGTACTAGGGTAAAGGGTCTTGGAATGATTTTAAGTGGCACCTTGGTGTGACTTGATCAAATCCTTTGGTATAATTCCCAGTCATATGGCATGTGGGCAGGTCACCCTGGAGACCAGAAGCCTCAGGAAGATGGTGTCACAGGCAGCTCAGACTGACTGACTGGCTGGCACACGGCCCAGATGACTTTACCATAATAGTAACTGCTTTCTCCCTTGTCAGGGCTTCCAAGGCAGCAGCTGAGGAGACCTTGTCAAAGAGCACCACGCAGTAGATGCTGAAACACCGCACTCCGGGTTAAGAAGCAGTAACATGGCAGCCCCTGTTTGAAAGGAAGTAAGAACCAACAGACTCCATTTCGAAAGGAACAATGTCCAAGAAAGGGCGAAATAAGGGCGAGAAGCCCGAGGCGCTCGTTGTTGCCCTCCAAGCTGCCAATGAAGACCTCAGGACAAAGCTCACAGACATCCAGATAGAGCTCCACCAAGAGAAGTCCAAGGTGAGTGGAGACCACCTGGGGCTGAGCCTGGTTCAGGGGGATCCGTCTCCCATTGGGTGAGACTCCACAAACCCTGTCCATCAGGAGATCCTTTAATATGTGCCAGGAGGAAATTAAAACAAGGGATCCACAGGTGAGGGTAGTTTGCTCATGAGCGTGATCATTTGTTCATCAGAAAGCCAGATATAAAAATTGAGACAACAGGGGCTGGAGCGATAGCACAGCAGGTAGGACATTTGCCTTGCATGCGACTGACCCGGGTTCGATTCCCAGCATCCCATATGGTTCCCCGACCACCACCAGGAGTGATTCCTGAGTGAAGAGCCAGGAGTAACCCCTGAGCATCACCGGGTATGACCTAAAAAGCAAAAATAAGTAAATAAATTAAAAAATTGAAACAGCCCCCACCACCACTGCCTCCCAGCCTCCCAGCAACAGTAATTTTCTGACATTATGCAAGTTCTTCCTTCGCCCTCTAGCTGATTCCCCCTTCAGTCAGCTGAAATATATCACACCCCTGTCTGTGCAACACTCAAAACCTTCTCTGGCTCCTTACCTTGCAGGGTCCATGGATGCTCATTCCACTCCAGGGCATTCCTTTCAGCTTTCTCTCTGAGTAATCATCACAACTTTCAAATGTGATCAAGCTGCCCCAGCCTCTTTGCTAGGGAGAGAGATGAGCACATTAAGGACCTTGCCCTGGTTTTTCCCAGTCATCTCCCTGCCCCTTTCTCTCTTCTTTCAACTCTCAAGTCACTCTCTAAAACAGAGCACTACCCATGTCTACATACTCCCCGCGGCCTGAGTCTTCATCATAGCAAGTGATTTTTTTTCCTTATTTAGTATTTATCTCTTCCACCCCACCCCCAAGATATATTATCTATGAATGTAGACACTCCAAGACACTCCACGTTCTTCTCTATCCCTGGAGCCTAAGTAAATGTTTAGAACTTTAAAAGCTCAACATCTACCCATAAGCATAAGAAGAGTGAACGAGAGGTCATCTTTTCCTTATACCTTGGTTACTTCTTCACATACAACAACCCTGTAGAGCTGTAATGAGGTTTAACTTAGACAAATACATAAGTGAGAATTAAATGAGATGAATTCTTTCCAGATTTCTGGCACACAATAAAATCTTAAAAATTACTCGTAATAGTATTTGTCCATTGTGTTCTCCATTAGAATCAACCTATAACTAGACTTTCTTGGATCTTTCTTAAATGCACATACAGTTTTCACACCAGAACAGTGTGACTCTCGAACTACTAAAGGATGACATGATCATACTTTGAAATAGCTGTCATAAGATAGTTCACCATGAACAAACCACAGACCATCATGTCAGCATATTATTGTTAATCACTTAAACACTTAACTTCCCGTTAGTCGTCGATTTGCTTGAGCGGGCACCAGTACCATCTCCATTTGTCCCTGTCGCGTGCTAGTGTAGCCCAATGGCATCTGTTCGCTCTGGGAACATGAAGAGCCTCAAACCGATCATTCATGATCTTGACGAAGAAGTCTGACCATCTGGTAGGTGGGCGGCCACGCGGTCTTTTGACATCCTGTGGAATCCAGTTGGTAACAGCTCTAGTCCAGCGGTCGTCTTTAAATCTCATTACGTGACCAGCCCATCTGATTTTTCACACCTTGGCAAATGAGACAGTGTCCCTGATTCTTGATCATTGACGGAGGTCGGGACTCCGGATTCTTTCTCTCATTTGAGTGAAACGTGATATTGCCCTACGCAAACATATTATTGTTATATATAAATAATTCTTTGTATGATAAGAAATTGGCCTTGATCAAGCTGTAGATTTATAAAACAACAACAGATACTATAATTCTATTTTATCTGCTTTTACTTCCTTGGCATTAATTTTCTATTTTAATTCAGGGGCTGAGTGATAGTATAGTAGATAGAGCATATGCCTAGCCCTGTACCTAATCCAAGTTCCATTCTTGCACCACATTATCTGCCAACCACCTGGGGGCCCTGCCATGGTGGTTTGAATTATCTTGAAGATAACCAACACATCCTCAGGCCCTTGCATTGAGCTCCAGGCTTGGTTGACTCAGAATAATCAGTGGGCCCAAGCCTCCCGATCAGTGTCTGGGAATATCTCCTCACACCCCACACCCCCTGCTCAAAAAAAAAATGCTTAGATAGAACTGCTGAAACCCCTCACCTCCAGTCTCAGGTAAGCCTAACCTTGGGTAAAAAGAAGGCAAAATAAAGGATGAAAAGGATAATTTTTCATTTTTATGAAGCTAGAAATAACACAGTGTGGTTTAAAACAAGAACAACAGCAACAACTACAACAAAATTCCACAAAACCCATATTTTAACATCAGAAAACCAGGATATTGTCTTTATTTTTCCTTGGTGACAAATATAAGTGTCCATGTCTTGATATGTAATTTAAATGATTACATCTGTTTCTCTGTGAGTTTTTCCAAGCATGCCCATCATTTAGAATATTACCTGGGGAGGCCTTAATTAAAAAATTGAGATACCTGGACTGCAGTTTAAAAATTCTGATCAAGTAGGGGGGGTAAGGCTCAGGGTCCTGGCAGTTGGAACAAGTAGTTAGGACCCGAGGCACAAGTAAGTGTCACACAGTTCCCGTGAGATTCCTGCTAGGTCTGAGAGGCTGGGACTATTTCATTGGTTTTAACTTTCCCCTGGGCTATGTAACCTTTCAAGCAAGGCAGAATCCTTTAATTATAATAACTACTTGATGACTAACAACATTCTAGGAAAAAGTCAGTCGATCTGGAGACTGCTAACCATGACCTGGCATTAATTTATAGAAAATATACTCAGGAGAATTGAGTCACACTGCAGCCTCACCCTTGCCACTTCTCCATGCGTTTCAACCTTTTTTTTTAAATTAAATTTATTTATTTATTTTGAATACCCATCCCTCCACCAGTAACCATTTCCCACCACCACGGATCCCAGTAACCCTCCCCCCCCACCACCATTCCATCCCCATCCCACCCTGCCTCTGTGGCAGGGCATTCCCTTTTGTTCTCTCTTTCCTATTCGGTGTTGTGGTTTGTAAAAGAGTTAAGCATGATTTTCAGGGAGAAACATTGGAGAATTTACTTTTCATTGACCACTTTATATATAAGAAGATGTCACACGGCAGCATAAGCGGCCACACGGTTTGGAGTAAGAGTCCTGGTTCCATAAGTGAGCTATGCTTGTAGAGGCTCATGGTCACCGGAGTTCCCTCTGGAGGAGGCGGGATGTGGCACCTACCCCATCTGGGACTTCCCGGTGATCTTGGCTCTCTTCGGGACTGGGAGCTTTCTCGGTAGCTGTGGAGGCCCCTCCGCGGCCTTTCTTCTCTGTGGCTGTGTGCTGTAAAGATGGCCTATTTCAACCTTTTTTTAAGGGGTGTATCTTCAGCACTAATCCAGAACCCATCCCTAGCACTGAAATCTCAGCCTTCCCCTCCTTTCTCTGAGAAAAGATCAGAAGTAACCCCTGAAATTAGAATTTCCTTGGATTTCCTTCCCTGGCAGTGGAACACCCTCTCCCCGCCCAGCCCCTTCATGGTTGTTGAAGGCAATTCCAGCACAGGGACTAAGCAAAACCTCCTATCACCACCTCACCACCTATCAACAGCATTTCCAAAAGAGCAAAGGGGATTTAAAGAACAAATAAGTCATAAAGCAATTTTATAAAAATAAACATGATTGTGCACCCCAAGGCCCAAGCTTTGAGAGCAATGTTATGAACAATGCTAAGAAGAGAGTTCAAACCCTTGCTTTGGGACTGTAAGACTCTGATGATAAAGTGACAGCGAGTTGCTGGGAATGGACTCATTACATTGGATACCTTTGGCACAATGAGGCATTATTTGTTTTTCCAAAAAACAAATCGTACTCTGACATTTACAGAAAACAGCATGTATAGAGCAGTGCTGGTCCTTGGTGCTTTGGGCTGATAATATAAATAGCTCTGTTTTATTAAATGTTTACTATCTGTCAGGCACTGTAATAAGCACATTTCATCTTGATGTAATCCCAGTACTTTCCCTTGCATCTGAATGGCCCCTAGCAGGTTATGATATTCTTCTGTGGTTACCTTTGCTTGACTTGCAAGTGGGAAAATATTAACATCTACCTCTTAGGAATGTTGGTATTAATGTTTCAGCAGGTTAGCATGTGACAGTTTATTTAGATCACTTATCCTCACTGCCCTCTGCTATGGGATTATTAGGCTTTTTTTTTTTTTTAGTTTGGGAACCATACCTGTTGGTCCTCGGGGCTTATTCCTGGTTCTGTACTCAAAAATAACTCTGGGGGGCTGGAGCGATAGCACAGTGGATAGGGCGTTTGCCTTGCATGCGGCCAACCTGGGTTTGATTCCCAGCATCCCATATGATCCCCCAAGCACCACCAGGAGTAATTTCTGAGTGCATGAGCCAGGAGTAACCCCTGTGCATCGCTGGTGTGACCCCAAAAGCAAATAAAAAATAAATAAAAATAAAATTACAAAAAAAAGAATAACTCTGCACAGGCTCAAGGTAACCATCAAGGTGCCAGTCATCATATCCAGGTCGGCAGTGTGTAAGGCAAGTGCCCTACCTGCTATACTTATCTCCCTAGCCCCATGCAAGGGCTTTGATCATTTTACACATGAGAAGACAGGTCGGAGCCACATGATAACAGGGAAGGCTGGTTCTTCAATTCATCTTTTCCTCTCTTCAAAGTCAAAGCATTTTTTTTATCCTTGAATTTCTAAAAATCAATGTTCAGAAAAAAAAATCGTGGTTATATAAAACATGACCTCACTTCATGTAGTGATGACCTTTTATTGTAATGAGAACTTTGAAGATTCTGTCTCTTCAGATATTCAATGCCAAATTGTTAACCGTAGTTACCCCGCTATCTGTAACAGACCCAGGAGTTTATACCTTTTGACCACCTTTACCCATTTTCCCATACTCCTCACCTTCCCCCTCTACTTGTCAAGCACAAGT